TTTCTCAAATATTTGTCGATTTTAGAAGTTGGTGATTTAAAAGCCACTTTTTCAAAATTGTCATCATCATCGTTATTTTCTTCATAATTATTTTCTGTAGAATCTTCTGAATAATCTTCAAAATCATTTTCCATAGAATCTTCTATATAATAATCTGGATAATCATCTAAATAATCATCTGAATAATCATCTAAATCATCGTTTTCACGAGATACATTACGAAATTTGCTCAAGCTCTTACGAGCTCCAATAAAGAAGAAATGATCCATATTTGAATGTCCATAATAATGTCCTAATATAAGATCATGATATTTTATTGAAATTTTTTGATATTCTTTATAACAAGATTTCGTATATTGTTTTTTTCTTGGAGCAACATGACCAGTTAAATAAACTTTCATTCCACGTTTCCTTGCTTTCCTTAATAAATCTCTTAACCATTTCATTTCAGTTGTTCCTGGTTGTTCAGGTGATTTGCATCCATTAACTGCTGTATTGGTATTATAAAAGTACATTGTATTTAATGATACGACAATAAGTTTTTTAGGAATTACTTCGGTATAAAAATATCCTCCTTCAAGAAATGTTTTACGTTGACTTTCAGGTATAAAAGGTTCCCAAATAGAATGAAGTGTTGAAAGAATATCATTTGGTCCAGGTAAAAGAATATTATTAGGATGAATATCATTATTTCCTATCGAAGGAACAATAGGTATAAATTTTGGTTTATTTTTTCTTGGTAAGCATTTAGTGTTGGAAAATGTTTCAAGGAACTTGGATGCAATCATTCTATTAAGTTCAAAGACTTCTTTGGCACTTCGTGGTATGTTATCATCATTATCATGCCTATTACAAAATATTAAATAATATTAAATAATATTAAATAATATTAAACAACGTTAATAAATAATTCATGATAATATTTTTTTAAAAAAAAATTTTAAAAATAAAACAAACCTAGAGTTGTCACCTGTCCATATAATAAAGTCTAATTTATCTTTCCAATTGTTTTCTAACCAGTTAAACGTTGCATTCAGCAAACTCATAGGAGTATCGCATTTAGTAACTGAAGAACCCCAAGCTCCAGAAAGTACTTGAGATTTTTTTTTTCTTTTTGGATGTCCTCCGTGACATCTTGACCTAACAGTAGAATTTGCTATGTAATGAGGGTCTGGATGAATATCAGTAATGTGAAGAAAATTTCCATGTAGTGATCTTTTTTTTGATGCGTCTAGGTAAGGATCGTGAATTGTCTGAAAAGTAAAATATAAGAAAAAAATCAAGACAAAAGCGGGTATTATAAGCGATACACACTCTTTGGAAGTTATCATTATTAATAATTATAACAGTTTGACGGTTATAAATATCAGTTACAATTATAATGACAACTATCTTTTTTTTTTTTTTTAATTAATTAACGATTTAATAACAACTTTTGAATAGCAACTTTTGAATAACAATCTGAACAACAATGAAAAAAAACGATTGTAACGAAAATTTACCTTTTTATTGGGTTAAAAAAAACGCTTGTAAAAGATTTCGGAGTATTCAGATCAACAGTATTCTATAACACTTTATCCATATAAGGTCACAACCTGTCAACTATTTCAAATTGCATAAAACATACGTTATCAAAATAAAATAAATTATTACTATTATTGTAATATTTATGTATCATATAATATAATAATCGGACTTTTGGTTTCAAAAAAAAACAAGAATTTTTATTTATGTGGCGTTAAGTTTACATTGTATTTTTAATTGAGATTACGAAATGCCGTAGTTCGGAATAGTCCTATTATTCAAATTATCTATTTATAGTATTACAAGTCGCTCAATTGAACAGCCACATTAAAAAGAAAAAAAAAACGTGCTACATGCATTAATTTCATTGTTATAGTACAACCGGTTGGTCGCGTGCCTTTCCTTTTATAAATTCGTGTTATCAATAAATAAATTTTTATTGGTAAAAAAAAATTTTTTTTATCATATTATTGATTTCGGCTTATTCCATATCTGTGATATTTATGAAAATCATCATTTGGTGGTTTTATACAATCTTACACATAATACGTAATTTATTCCTTAAATAGGTTGAATTTGTCCTGAAAATGTTCCTTTTTTTCTATCTTTTTCGAGGAATTGATTATTTAGATCTTTCATATTTTTCCTTTGAAGATTCTATATTATCCCCGCACTGTCCTTATAAATCTCTCACGAGACCTTTTAAAAAACCTTTATTAGTCTTATTTTCTTTCTCTTTATGCGTAGCATCTGCAATCTCTTTAGTTGTGTAACTTCTAACATGCATATAATAGCTTAGAATTTCTTCTCTAATAATTCTAATTGTCTCTTTAATTGTTTTAAAGGTAACAATTAATAATTACATAAATACACTCATCACTTATTTTCTACATACGTACGTACGTACGTACATACGTATCAGGTCAGGAAGAATTTGGGTAAAAATTAGGGGTATAATTTAGGCCAATCAATGTCGATCAGTTAATGCTGGCCAAAAATCACTTACGTAATGCAGCGTTAACTGTTAAAATAACTGATAATGTACGCATGCGCATACTTACGTATGTACGTATGATATATACATATCAGATATCAGACATATACACCAAAGCTTTTTACGGTGTGCCATGAATATATCAAACGTGAAATAAAATGATATATATTACTGTCTTACATATAAAATTTTCCCGCCAAAAGTACCCAGGTTTTTTTTTTACCTTGCTCGTTTTAGTACCCGGGCACTCGTATGAATATGTTTAATTATTACATACGTACGTACGTACGTAAATATGATATTATCATACTTAATTATATACTCAAGAATTGGTTTCCAAAAACTTTGCGCACAAATTTCATTGCTGGTAAGTATAGTACTAATTAGAATAACCGGAAAATATTTGTCATGTAGTACGTTAATGACTTTTTGATATCTTATCTTTTATTATCAAATTTTTAAATCAAAGATTAACAAAATATTATTAATATTAATCTAGTTTTTAAACAAGATAATCTAGTTTTAAACTAGATATTTAATTTAGATAACTTTACGTAAACTATAATCCCTGTTTATCCTAAAAAAGTAAATAATTTTATAAATAAATAATTAAAATAAATAAAATAACATTCATTTTATTTAATTCTGGTTATGACCCTTTTTTTTTATCGAAAATGATATCATTTTGCATATGCAAAAGAAAATTCTTGAAAATCTTTTGAATATCGATAAAATCGATAACGATAAGCAGAAAAAAAAAATTCTAATCCAGGAGTGTCAGTAAGTAGATCTAGATTTCCAATAATTCTATACATAGTATTGATTAAATAGTGTGAGAGATAAACGTGATTACTTGTTTTTTGTTGGTCGTATGTAATTATATAATGAAATAAATATATATGATTGAATTATTTTTTTTATTATGATCAAACATTTACATCAAATAACGCAATTTCACGTAATCTTTTCAATTAATCAAAAATGCAGAAAATTTAGCATATGATTACCGTTGCACGGGAAAGTGGAAATCATTATTTTTAATTTCAGGCAATAAATAATAAACGTGCACGCTTAATGATGCACCCATGCATTTTAAAAAAGATAAACTAATTTAAGTACATTCTAAATGTAGAAAATTATAAATTATCTATATATGTTATACTAAATTAAAAAAATTTACCAAATTTAGAAATAATAACTTCTTATCAAAACTCATTAAGTCAATAATGAATTAGTAAAAAAAACATGTGAATAATTTTATCATCGAGTTGAGTCATAAAGATAAACAGTTTACATTTAAATTACTACATAAAATCGTTCAACAAAAAGAAAATTTTTACCTTTTCTAGAAAATTTTGTAACGCGCATGATTATGTCGATGGATTTCCGTACTCCATGTGATTCGTAGCACCGGAGTAAATAATAATCAATCAATGGTTGGTGTAAAATAATTGGAATAATCTAATATGTATATCTTTTTAATATATCTTTTAATATATCTAGGGGGAAAATCAATTTTTAATAATTAAAAAAAAAAAACTGTGCGTGCATTGCGTCTTACCGCTTTGTGGTTAAAGTGTGGCGTTACCACCTAAACCAATTTCGTTGGCCAATTAAATTTCAAGGTAGGATGTAACATAAATTGAATACAAAAAAAAGAACGTAAAAAATCAAAATGATTCAAGAAACCCATCATTTTACCTATGAAGTTTCTAATAAAAAGTTTTCCTTGCAAAATTTTAGTAATAGAGAAAATTAATCTAACCTAATCTAATAGCAAAACTTGCCCCTATTTGACGGTAAACTTTTTTTAAAGAAACTTCTCAGATTGTGACTCTAGATTCTAAACCTCGTACCTACCTACGTACGTACACACGTATATGTACTAGGGTAGTGAAATCAACACTATCTGCTATTGTAGATTTTCATGTTGCGTAAACAAATGGTGATCGTTACAACTTAACATTTATATATTTATTAAAATCGATCAATTTAAACTCAATATGAAATTTTTATTTTTTGATATAAATGTTATGTTTAATTAAAAACTTGCAAGAACTTTCTAGAGTTTTTATTCAAAATTAGTTAGAAAAAAATCTTTTAGAATTTTGTGCTTTTTTTAGGCCAGACTAAATCCGGTAGTTTAGATCACCTCCTCCTTTAACCCTTTTCTTTATTGCAGGACATTTCGGAAAATTCTATATAGCATTTATGGTTATTTCGGTAAAAATGTTTCTTCGAAAAAAATTTTTTCCGTCTCCCCCTATATTTTGTAAACCATTGAATTAAGTTGGTCTTACCTTAAAGTAAATGATATTTGATTATTAATAAGGCATATACTTAATGTAGTTTTTAGATTTTACCCCTAGGTCTTTTGCGTAGATATAAACGATATTTACAAAGAACTCGCTGTTTTAGGATACAGTTGTTGCATCTAAAGTAACGATTTATCTAAAGTAGCTACTTTAGATATATAAAGTAGCGCCTGACTAAAATTAGGCCCCTGAAATTAGATCTTCATGCATGCACTAAATCGTAATTCTAGCCCAGGGCTACTTTAGATAGGGTGGCTACTTTAGATGCAACAGGGTCATAAATAGAGATTGGACCCGCACAAAGGCATGGAAATTATTTGATTTAGTGTAACTTACGTAAAAGTCATTTGCATTCGTTTTATGTTCTTGGCTAGTGTTTGGATCCGTTGAACAAATCCGTTGGATGATCCGATGGATATCCGACTATTTTAATCCAGTGGATATTTATCCGTTATCCGTCGGATCATCCGAAATTAATAGAATCATAGCGATAGTGACGAAATTAATTTAAAGTCTATTTTGATAGATCACTGATGTAATCAAAAAGTAAATAAAAGATTTGATCGATGTGTAATTCAACTTTACTTCGTTATCTTGTAAAACTATACCCGATTAATAAATAGTGTTGCTTTGTGTATTATATAATCCATATTACTTACCGTTAATGGAAATGGATAATAGTGAAGGATATTTATCACCAAGTGAAAGTTCCAATAAAGACCCTAATAGAGATTCTTTGACGGATATTACAACTACAACGAATAATGATAAATCTAAAGAACTCAAAAAAAAGAGGAGGGTCAAGAAAAAGAAGTTGGATATGGGATCATTTTAAAGAGTTACCTACTGATAATGGATCCAAAGGCCAGTGCAAAAAACTAAAGAAAAATGGAGATATATGTGATCATATAATTGAAACAGATGGTGGTACTGGAAATTTTAGCAATCATCTCCAAAACAAGCATAAAATTACAAAATTTGGAAGTATTAAACCAGATATTTCTCAACAAACACTTGATGAAAGGTTTAATCAACTAACAAAGAGTAGTACTATTTATAAAGAACAAGCTGACAAAGCTTTGGTTGAATTTTTAATTGCTGATTCACAACCATTTTATTTGTTAGAAAATCCAGGATTTGTAAAATATTCAATGGCACTTGGTTCATCTTATGAATTACCTGGCGATAAAGGAATTAAAAACAAAATTTATTTAGCCTATGAGTGGATATCAGCAACTCTTCATAATAAAATAACCAATTCAATGAAATATTGTGGATTAACAAAAGATTTGTGGACATCGTGCAGTAGAACCAGATATCTTGGTGTTACATGTTCATATCAGTCAGGGAGGATGTTATATATGTTTATATATGAGTATAAGTTTATAATAAAAATTATAATAAAAACATATAAATTAACTATAAACTTTAAGCTAAAGATCCTTTTAAACCTACATATTAACTTATTTCCAAATTTTGAACTTAAATATATTGAAAATAGTAAAATAAAATCACTTAAAACAACTTTTTAAAATTTTGCAAATTTTGTATATTTTGCTAATAAAATTTTGTAAAAAGAAGAAATATACTAATTTTAACTCTGCAATTATATATAAACCATTATGCTAAACAAGTTTACTTAAAAAATAAAAATAGGTTGTTATAATAAAAAAAAAAGTTATACATAGATAAACTAAAGATTTTAACGTTTTTATATAGAAAACTTTTTTTTTTATTAAGACAATCTAAGTTTTGCTTTTTAAGTAAACTTGTTCAGCACTAGATATTATATCTTTAAAGTGTTTTCGCTCATTTTTGCGAATGTTTTGCTAAGAGAAAAATAAGATTAAAGTTAGAAAAAATTGTTTTTAAAAATTTTTTTTTTTAAAAAAAAAAAATTTTCTAACTTTAACATCATTTTCACTTAGCAAAAATGAGTGAAAACACTCTAAAGGTATAAAATCTAGTGCTAAACAAGTTTATTTAAAAAGCAAAACTAGATTGTCTTAATAAAAAAAAAAGTTTTCTGTATAAAAACATTAAAATCTTTAGTTTATCTATGTATAACTTTTTTTTTTATTATAACAACCTATTTTTATTTTTTAAGTAAACTTGTTTAGCATAA